CATGACAATCATTTAGTTAAAGAAATGATAAGAGGTTTAGGAGCTAATATAAACGATAAAAGTGTTCGTAGAATTTGCAGAGTGTTCTTCATCATTAAGTCATTTTTGGAACATCTAGACCAAGAGATGCAAGTCAAAAAGATCTCGGGAGAGCATTGCAAAAAATCAGTAAAGCAGGACTTGAAGAAAGTTGTAAAAACCCTTCAAGAACAGAATGTATTCGAGAAACAGTTAACTGGGGGGAAAATGTTTGCCTTTCCTGACTGCCCAAGAGACTACCTACAATTGCTAGATACAAAAGGCCTATTCTTGTGGATCAACGAACATAAGAAAAATGTAAAACTTGGCAAAAGGCCCCGATAAATTTACATAAGTGTTATAGGGATGCCGATCTACTGTACGACTAGTATCCAGCAAAATAGACATTCGGCACTTATTTAAAATACAGTTCTGAACTTCTAATGGAATCTAGGTCATGAAAATGTACTGGCGTTGTCTTTTTCATGTTAAATTGTACAAATTGTTAAACATGCCAAACATTCACATTGATTGGGCAAACACCACAAATATTTTAAAACATTAAATGTACAGGTATGTTGTGATCTCTTCTTACTTTTCCTATAGACCCTTATTATAAATATGGTGTGAGCAAGAATAAAGTTTTGAAAATATTGGCAATCGTGGTATTTTTCTAGTTAAAACTTGAAGATATTCTGGGATCACCGATAAAATATCGAAACGGCTACGAAATGTCAACTCAATGTTTGGTGAAATCCGGATTTGACGTAACAAAATAAGTTGTTCTTGCTCACACCATACTGTATTTATAAGAAAGTTCTATTAATTAGCAAACAATACTAACCTTCTAACTAGGACCTTTGCTCAAAACGTCTGTCTGATATTTTTCTCAAATAAGCTCTTATCAATTTGTTGTATTTGTAACATGTTATTATCCAATAAAGTAGTTATGTACTACTCAGTGTCATACTCTTCTTCAGCATTTTCAATAAGGCTATCCTCTGCAATAGTAAATAGTTCTTCAACGCTGGCCAGCAATGAGTCTTGTTCATCAAAATCAAATATATTATCAAAAGAGAACTCTTCTATATTGTCAAGTTCTGTTTCTTCAGATTCAGCTACATCAATATCTTCAAAGACGTTTGAAAATGCAAACAAAACGTCATTTGCCACACTTGTATGCCAGATATTAACAAACTTAAAAATAGAAGCAACAGAAAAAATTTTCTCACAATGTTGCAATATTTGTTCTATTTCAGGATCTCCAAATGCACCAGCTAACTTTGTAGGTGTAAACATAGGTACATTTGCAATCTTAGCTTTTTTTAAAAATTGTTCTTTTAAAACCATCTTTAAATATGTCAACTTTTGGGCAAGTGCTGTTCTTTGAGCATCTGTAACTTTTCTTGAGCACAAAGACTCCATTCCATTGCAGCTTCTTGATTGCTAATAGACATTGATGTAAAGTATACAAAATCACAATATGTCCCACAGCATTTGCAGTTTTTTTTGCAAAAATCACAACAATGGTGAGGGTATTGTGTCACAGGCAGGTTATTCAAGTCAACATCAAAGCTTTCTAACAGCATCTTTCTTCTGCACTTTGATGATTCACGTACATAACTCTTAATTTCATCGGAACAATGCATCATCATTAAGCTTGAATACAGGATGACAGACTTGCACATTTGCATATTTGATCTTCCAGCTCTTCCACTCTCTTGCATGTATGTCTCCAAGTTGTAAGAAGGACCATAGTGAATGACAGTTGTCACATTCTTACAATCAATTCCCATGCCATAAGCAATGGTTGCAATTAAAACTCGAACTGAACCATCCGGTTTGCCCATGGACTCTAATATATGATCTCTATTCAGTTCATCTATCCTGCTATGAAACATTTCAACAGTTCTCTTTTTGGGATCCATGGAGTCGTCAACATACATGTCATCACCTACTTCTGATGCGAAAAAGGAATATAAGTAAGTGGTGACTTTGATAGTTTGGCAGTATATAATTGCCCTTTCAGTACATCCTTTCTTTTCTTGCAATTCTTGAACCATTGTTTGAAACGTTTTTGCAAGATCATGGTTAATCACTTGGGCAGCATAACTTATGTTATGCCTGTTTGGGCTCTCAAGTATTAACGCTGGGTTCTTCATTTCCAGAGCTCGCATAATTTTCAGCCTGGTGACAGTCGTGGCTGTTGCTGTAAGAGCGATCACTGGCACTTATCCAACAATTGAGGCTATTGAGCGAATCTCATTTATTCGGCTAGACCATTTTCGAAAAGCCATCTCTCCTTTCTTTGATGCATAACCCCTGAACATTATAAAACAAACAGAAACTAACATAAATAAATTGGCATTAACCCTTCATCATTTTTATCTGAAGTATTCATGCCTATTTATATGAGGATAATATGTTCTTGGTGGTGTAACTTTACTTTTTTGACCACTTGCCCTCAGAGCAAGTTGGAGTGTTGGACATGAAAACTAGTTGCCCTGAATAAAATTCACCTGCCATCAGACAATGTCTACTGCATGGGGTACCTAGATAGGGGGTATAAATTAAGGGGACAACATGTCGACCCGTTCTCCCACTGCTCTAAAAGGCTACCGTAAACCTCCGACTATAAGCCCTGGGCTTATATACTTTTGTAAGCGTTTTTGATGGGCTTATACAAGGGGAGGGGGCTTATATACGGGTGGGCTTATACATGGACAATCTTTTGTGTTAGTAATAAACAAGTCATAAACAGGGAAATAAACATGTATTAAGCAGCGATTACTGGGCTTATATTAATTGGGGGACTTATATTTGGGGGGCTTATATTCGGGTGCGCTTATATTCGGGAGGGGGGGGCTTATATTTGGAATGATGTGAGCGTTAGTACATGTGGTGGGCTTATACACAGGGGGCTTATATTCGGGGGAGGCTTATAGTCGGAGGTTTACGGTATGTTATACTGCATTAGATATAACTTTGGCCCACAAAAAACAACATTTTAATGAAGTACATGCATTATGAAAAAAATTATCCGATAATGAAAATATAAACTTAAAGATGCCGAACTTTTTGTGGCAAGGCAACTTGCCCAAGCGGGCAATCAAGATAAAACGTTTACTTGCCCGTCATGATAATCACTTGCCCCGGGCAAGTGTTACATTACAACTCTGGTTCTGCCTTATGGGTTACCATTAAGTCTGGTACTATAGATTGATTACATTTAAAATCTCAACACCTAGCTGTGGCATCACAGAAAAGAAAGTTTATTTTCTTGTGAGCACCAGCTCAGTGATGTAACTTTACTTTTCTTCCCACACATAAAAATTAGATGCCCTGAATAAAATTCACTTGCCATCAAACAATGGCGGGTATAAAAGACATGTCGACCCATTCTCCCATAGCTCCATATGGCCATGTTATACTGTCTCTGATCTAGCTTTGGCCAACAAAAAAACAAAATTTGAATCAAGTACATGCACTATAAAAAACATAAACTTAAAGATGCCCAGCTTTTTGTGGCAAGGCAACTTGCCCAATCGGGCAAGCACGATAAAACATTTACTTGCCCGTCATTATATTCACTTGCCCCGGGCAAATGTTAAGTTACACCTCTGCAGCTTGCATGGTGGGCGACATTGTATGATGTGTGCAGAGGGATTACAAAATTAGAAAGATAGATTGCAAAATAAGACAGTGAAATAAAAAAGTCCATAATGAAAGATTTTATCTATACTTAAAAAACTCATTAATAATTCAGGAGGAAAACACAAAGAAAAATCATAAGCGTGTCGTATCTTTATATGTGATAAAAAATCATGTTAATTTACATAAACTTCAGCTTTGATTTTCTCGGTTTAGACAAAGTTTATTTTAAAACATTAAAGACCATGTAAAATCTGTTCTGCGCATACTTTCTGCGCAAGCCTACATTCCAATGGTCCAGACTCGACCATTGGAATGTTATAATACTTTGCACCTTCTGAACGTTCCTGAATTGAATCTCTATTCTGTATTCATTTACAAGCATAGTGAACCAGAAGAGTGTTAAAAATTCAGTATAATATATATCTAATCATATTTTACAACTGTAGCGCTGAGTTCAAAATGTAAACAAAGCATTTGTTTACATTACAGACTTTAAATGGCCTTTAAAATTCCACTACCTTCAAATAAACACATACATAAATACAATCTTAGCAATCTAAATTAATTTCTGTTATCACAGCCTATTCAGTAACAATATGGCATATTACTGAAGAGGCCGATAACATGGTATGGGATAACACCAAAATTAATTGTTTGTTTTTATTTGAACCTAGTAGAATTTTAATGTTTTAACTTTAGGTCATTACTCGTTAGTTTTTTAATTGTGTATAATAAAACTGTATTGAAAGAGTAATACAGACATTGATGTCATTGAAAAGCACAATTTTTTTATTTTATCCACCAAATATTTATGCGGCAACATGCCAACTTTCCACCAACAAAGTAGGGTGCACCAAGGTACAAATGTTTATTACAGTTCAGCATATTTTCTGGCAGACAACAGTCAACACTGTTTACATTTTTGTAGCACGCAATGGTTCGTGAAAGCACATAGTTATTTTAATACAATATAAACAGTATAAAATATAAATGTTGCCTGCCAGCAAAATGTAAACAATATTTCATGTACAAACATTCTCCTAAAACTTCTCAATCATATAAAACATTAAAACATATGAGGAAAACCACACAGATTTTAAAAAAGGGAAATCTGCTTACCAGTGAGATATACAATGAGCTTCGTCAACCGCTACCAGACGCAATCTTTCTTTATAAACATTATTGCTTATCATAGCACGCCATGTTTTAGTTGATAAAAATGCCTCAGGTGAGCCATACACAATTTGACATTCACCACGTTCAACAACTTCATTTGCATTTTCGCTCATTTGATCATCCCCAATAAACTCAGCACTAATCCCGACAGACTTCAGGTAGCGTACTTGATCTTGCATAAGCGATGTCAGAGGAGATATTATAAGTGCTATTGACCTCCCACTTGACAATGGATATATATATTGTGTCAAAGACGACGGGAGCGGACTGATATATAAGTGATTTTCCCGATCCTGTAGGCTGTATAACGAATACATCTTGCCCCCTTAGCAACTTTTCCAAAGCTTCTACCTGAGATTCTTTCAAAGATTCAATCTTGAAGGTTTTTAAAACCCTATTAAACGCTGTCGCTTTTCTTTCTTTCTGGTCCGCCATTTTGAATTAGCTTTTTGCATGATAATTTATGCAAATTTATTGCCACACGAAATTCTGCAGGCGAGTATCTGATTGGCTGAATTTAACAATAGCGATCTCATGCGTCCAGCCGGCAATTCGGGGAGTGATTCCCCGGAGCCGGCTGGAAATCGAGCCTACTGTGGCACCTGCTCATCAATTTTAATATGCATCACACCTGGTTGTGTTGGACCAAGAGTACTTGAATTCTTATGATTGGATACTTGTAGTACAATTGTGAGACACACTATGAAATTATAGTCATTGTGTCACTGTTTATGATATTGATTTTTTCTGTAAAACTGCTCCCAGAATGCAGGAAGACTATGAAATGAGTCATTGTGTCACTGCTTCTCGTAACTGTTTTTTTTGTTAAAATTGCTCCAAAAATGCAGGAAACAGCATTTCTAAGCCTTAGAAAATCAAATATTTTCTGGGGGAGCATGCCCCGACTCGACTCGGTAAATCTAAAATCCTAGTTACGAGTCTGCATATGTGTACACTATCATTAATATTAAACAAACTAATGAATACTGTAGTAGGGGTGTACCAGACTTTTTTTTTGAAATATGAGATTGAATTAATGAAAAAATAATACCTTCATCGTTCTGGAATTAACTAATTTCCACACAAGAAAGAATGTTATGGTATTTCTTGTACTTATGCTTGGCAATTTCTATGAAACTGACACCTCTTATTTTTTATACTATACTAAACTTTCATATGGTTGCTCAATACGGAAATTTCGTGCCAATATAGTTGCTTGGGGGCTACATTGCTGCCATTTTTCTCTGTCGGTAGACAAGGAAAAAAGGTAGGTAAAGCCTTTCAAAAAAATCCCTGCACAGCGTCTACTCCAAAAAAAATTCCGACAAAGCTTTGCACTCAAAACAAAATTGTTACAGGGAAAATTTCCCTCCCCCCCTCCCAGGATATCTAATGGTCCACCCCTTATCTACACACTCATTTTTTAATGTGGTCCCTCCCCCCCTCCCAGGATATCTAATGGTCCACCCCTTATCTACACACTCATTTTTTAATGTGGTCAGTTGTAATAGTTTTCTTACCTTTTCTTACTTGTTTGTGCCAATTGATTATACTCGTAATCAATGTTGATCTGTGATCATGTGTTCTGACCAACCTGTACCAACGCTAATTTATTTCAGAGTATGGCCAGCTGGCCACTGAATCTAATGGTCACTTATTACCCGATGTTTCTTTGACATATGTGCGCACTCTCTAACAGCCTAATGCCAGACTATCATTCAGCCTAACACAGATTGTTTTGCTGGTCAAACAAATAACACATGGGCATTGTAGTATTGGATAACAGGGGCAACACAACAGAGGGCTAGTGGGGCTTGCCCCATCCTCTAGTTTTCAGCCCTCCTAATAATAAGTGTCCAACAATTAATACCAAATTACAGTATTGTACTGTAAGTATAAATTCTAACCTTTCAAGTGGTTCTTCCTACAAGCCTTCAGCATGAACAGGCTATTAATAAAAGTAACAACATTCGATCAAGAATTAACTAAAACAACTTTATATAATTGTGATATCATATACTGTGGTAGTTTTATAGGTAGCTTATATCCTGTTATGTCAAGGCAATCATTGAAAATTAAAATCAACACGTTTCAATACCATATGTGAAGCCTGAGGAGGAAATGTATACAACAACAAATTGATGACAGGTGTCATCCCCAAGGCTGTTGTTTGCTTATTGATAGCAGCCCATGGCCGGTCAGTGTGTTTCTGATTAACAAAATTTAGCAAAATGAAAACAAGAGGTGATGTGTACAGTTTCTCATTGAGATGATTTTACTCAGGATTGACCATAGATATAGAAGACCTAGATTGCTGACTTGGCTCAACCGGCGTGACATATTTTGAAAATCCAAGATGGCGGCTCAACAGGGCAAAAATCATAGAACAACATAGGGAAAAACCATGTTTTTTGCATTTTGCGTCGTCCTACAGCTTCCGATCCCGTTCTATCACTTTATTTCGGCAAGAACTAACTGGTGTGAAGGTTTTGAATGAATATTTGTTACAACTAATACAATTTACAAATTACAATTCAAGCGGGCAAGATTGGGCAGGCCTGCAGTTTCGCGCGCTTTTCCTCTTTAGTTTCTTCCTGTTTATTCCTTCAGTCTTTTACGAGTTTTTTTCTCAAGTAATGTGATATATATCTAACTATTCCAAAAGCTACTACTGTTTATTTTGTTCTTTCATTGTTATTTCGACCAAAATACAGTATTTTTATCTGAAAATTCTAGGGCTTTCTATTCTATTAAAATATCTGGGGGGTTTTATCGAAAAGAATGCTTGAATGTCGGCCTGAATCGTGTTCATCGTATTAGTGCAAGGCAGACGTGGAGATTTAAAAGATGGTATTTGCTTTTCCTTCCATAAGTAAGTCTATGAAACACACACATCATATATTTGTACACTATATAAGTCTATAACTTACATCATATAAACAGAATAGTTTAATAGTAATAGAATAAAAACAATTTGTTTTGTAAATACTGTAATGACAACGTCACAACAAATGTAGTTTTGAGTTTGCTAGCTACAATATAAAACTATTTACAGTTTTAATAAAAGAATATTAGACCAAAGAACTTGTTTTGATGTCTGTGTCAATCTGTGTTAGGAGTCTCTCTCTCTATATATATGCATGTTGACAACAACTGTCATAAACTGATCCTTGTCCTGTTCAAGGTCAAAAATGTTTTACTTTTGTTCACATCAGCGAACCAAAAATACATCTTTCCCTTTGCACTATTGGATTTCCTATAACCAATCCCAGCCTGCTAAAAAATGAAATGGGCAGACTGGATGCCAATCAAATATCCAGTCTTGTCAGGGTTCGTACACTTTCTCCGATTTAAAATTCCATGACTTCCCATGACTATTTTTTTCAAAATCCAAGACCTGCAAGTCTGGAATTTCTGAAATTCGTTAATATTTTAACGATAACAGATATAGTAAAAGAACAAAATTCACTTCGCTCTTGCAAAAATCTGTTATATAACAGCAATTCATATTATTGTTATGACTGGTAAATTAAAAACAGCAATTCATATTATTGTTATGACTGGTAAATTGAAATAGGTAATTTTGATTTTCCAGGATTTTCAGGCCTGGATTTTGGAATATTGAAATTCCATGACTTTCCAGGACCCGTACGAACCCTGTCTTGTGTGAGAAACACTTCACACCCGATGATTATATCAACCCATCGAGTTGCAATGCGCCCTACTTTATTATTTTACTCTGTCTAACGCCAGACAATTTTACTCATCAAGGGGAGAGGAGTGGCACTTAATGGGTAACTGGCTTATCTGCCCATGTGTCTAGTTAACCCATTGAGTTGTTTTGTGCCCTACTTTATTATTTTACTCTGTCTAACGCCAGACAATTTTACTCGTCAAGGGAAAGTGCTGATGCTTAAGTCAGCTGTCTCATGGGGAGAGTACCTGAAGGGGAGAGTACTGATTGTGGAGAGCAATCAATAAAAGGCCAATCCAACTTATCCAAGAAATATCTAAACGAAGATGCTATCCCATCTATTTTTGATTATCAATGATGAATCAATCAGGTTTCTTGGAGAGAACTAGATACTGTGAAGGTTTTTGATGCATACCAGACAAATTAGTCAGTTTCTTCAAACTAGTTTCCATTGAAAACTTTCGCTGTCACTGGTTCTCTCTACAAACCTGATTGATTCATCACTTTTCACTGTCCAGGCCATATAGACTTGAGATCCCTTGACATCTGCAGCAGCAAGGAGGTTGTCAAAGTCACACTAAACAGAGCATCAGAATTTTCGCACCAGCAGACCAAATAAATCAACTAAAATACGTTTTAACTTCAAAATACTTCACAATATTATTCCCTGTTATATATCCCAACCGAGATCCTCGAGAAAAAAAGCACCCAAAGAACCAAAACCTTTATTTTCTGTAACAAAATGTCTCGAACTGCTCAACCGACTATGTGATGATTTTCAGATAACATTTAGCGATCGATTATTTCGTCTTTATTAAACTTAAATTGTACAAATATTCATCCAAAACCTTCACACCAGTTAGTTCTTGCCAAAATAAAGTGATAGAACGGGATCGGAAGCTATAGGACGACACAAAATGCAGAAAACATGTTTTTTCCCTATCTCGCTCTATGATTTTTGCCCGGTTGAGCCGCCATTTTGAATGCTCATGAGTGTCACGCTCGTGCGTTATAGAAAACATTAGAGTCGGCAATCTAGGTCTCCTATATCTATGGGATTGACAGGTAATTTTATTAAAATACATGCCCATGCTATACAATATTATATTTCCCTCACATACAGTGCATGTTTTATTCTCTCATCAACAACACAAACTACAAGCATTTTAAACAATAAACTATTTCCAAGTAATGCTCAAGAACAAAGGAAAATGGAATTTTAAAAGTGGAGGTTCTAAATATCCACTAAATATGTCAATCAGCACTCTCACTTTTAAGCAGGGCATTTGGACATATATTAGAAGTGATTTTTGAATAATTTTAAGCGAATCATTCCAACAATGCTGCTCAACATCCTAATTACAGAATGAGACAAAAATTCAGAGAACCTAACTTTGTAATTCTCAAGATTTCTCAGAGGCCCTGCCCACGTTTAAGGAAATTTTACTGAATTTGAGGAATTGTTACGGATAATCTGAGGAATTCTTGGCAATGGGAAGTGAAGGCTGACTTCAATACACAATGTTTTGATTCAGGTTTGGTTTCGACAGAAAAAGTGCAAAACAATGATGTACCAAGCAAATAATGAATTGTACTTACTGTTTGCGAACTATCTTTGTTTTCTACTTGCTTTTCAACAGACTCATCGGCGTCGCTGTTTTCGTTCCCCGAACTATAAAGTTCATTCAAACGTGCTGAATAATATTCCTGAATAATAAAACAATCTTCGAATATGGTTTTCCGATTTCTTCCTTGTATCTTTGTAACGGGAACGGCTCATCAGAGCCAGGCAGCGACTCTGCTTTGGTCTTGTCCGCGTAAAGAAGACAATAGAATTTCTTTTCTTCATTCTTAATCACGTCTTTATTAAAACGATGGTGTTTTTCTGCTGCTTTTGTCAACAGATCGTCATATTTGCAGCCACTGACAGAGGTAAAGTCGCGCTATCGCCCCTCTTAACCCGTAGATCTCCGTCCTTGTTTGTCATAATTCCAATTTGAATTTTACATGTTAACACTTTTGAGGATGCTTTACCTTTGATGTCTAACTTAAACCTTTTCCCATTCTTTTTGGTGAAATGTTTTGCTCGATCTTCTTCCTCGTGTGCTCGAAATTGAGCAAAGGACATCCGCCCGGAAGTTGTTTCTGTTACTTTGGCGTCTCCCCCGCTGCTTTCGCCATTTTCCTTTGGTGTACTTACTTCTTTGGCATTACTTTCACTCACTTTGCTTCCACAGTTATGACAATATTTTGCGTTGGACACGCGTGATTTACCACAGTTCGCACAAAACATGACTACCCTTCGACTGACACAGACACCAGAACCACAGACAACAGAAGTTACAGAACACGTGCGAGAACGAGCACACAGCGCATGCACAAGGCGCCAAGGCCAGTTCATAAAATTCCAAAGCCAGTTATATTCCAAAGGCATGCATAAAATTCCGAAGGCCTTGCATAAAATTCTGAAAGCCCCACATAAAGTTCCGAACGCTTTACGTAAAATTTTGAAGGCCCTGTATAAAATTCTGAAGGCCCTTCCATAAAATTCTGAAGGCTTTACGTAAAATTCTGAAGGCCTTCTATAAAATTCTGAAGGCTCTTGTATAAAATTCTGAAGGCCCTACATAAAACTTCGAAGGCCTTGCATAAAATTCTGAAGGCCCTTGTATAAAATTCTGAAGGCCTTGAATAAAATTCAGAAAGGCCCTTGTATAAAATTCTGAAGTCTTTACGTAAAATTCTGAAGGCCTTGCATAAAATTCTGAAGGCCCTTGTATAAAATTCCAAAGGCCCTACATAAAACTCCGGAGGCCCTGCATAAAATTCTGAAGGCCTTAAATAAAATTCTGAAGGTTGAATTTTTAAATTTATAGCATGTCCCCTATGGGCCACCGTACCTATCAATCTAGACAAGATCTCTAAAGAAATATTTCCAAATTTATAGACCAGTTGTGAGGAAGTTTGCTTTGAATTGTAGGTTAACCCAGGGTTAAGGTAACCATAGTTAATAGAGGAGATGGTTTGGAAGCTCGTTAGCATTACAATAAAATCACAATAAACCTCATTATCTATGTTGTTCAGGTTTATGCAAAAATGTGGTCCTTCATCGTCACGTGCGTATTGTATTTTTCTCAAGTCAACCAATAGGAATGTTCAAAATGTCCTATTGCTAAAGTCATGGATGAGCAATTGGACAAAACCGTTGCTATTGGCTGGTTGAGCAAAACTACAATACGCACGTGACGATGAAAGACCACATTTTTGCATAAACCTGAACAAAAACATAGATAGTGAGGTTTATTGTAATGCTAATGAGTTTCCAAACCATCCCCTCTATTAACTATGAGCTAACCCAGCTTTGAACAACCGGCCCCCGGCAATTAATCAATCACAATCATCTACAATGACCTTCACACGCATGGGTATATTATCAACAAGTCTTTAGTATTTTTAAATTTGAAAGTTTTAACACTGCGCATCAGAAAAAGGCTTTTCAGTCTATTATAAACGAAAAGAAGGATGTTTTCGTAAATCTCACAACTGACGCAGGAAATCACTTATTTAACACGCCGTTACCGAAGCTATTCGATGTAATATTCGGATTTAAATATTTAAACAAATCGTAAACGTACATTGTAAACATTTAGTAATCGTGGTTTCGCCATTGATAAATTCAATACGAGATCAAGTCAAAAAAACTACACGATCTAGGACTCAGTGGCTGTGCTGTCATTATTAAGTTGAATCGAGAGCGATAAAGAAGCGAAAGCATTGGAAGAAAAAAATATTCTGACGGCTGTATATTTTATATGGCATAGCAGAGTCATTGTTGAAGACAAAGTGTATGGCAGAACGGTTTGTGCTTTGGCTATTGATGCATGAAGCTCATTTCAGTATATATGTATTATAATAAATCCTAAACATGTGTTCGCATTTGTAATTCTCAAACTCACAGGAATCGATCGACATTGACCATTTTAATAGTCGTTATTTTATATTGTCTTGAATTTTTCTTTTTATACGTAACAAGTTTATGAGCCATCTAGTTAATATACTGACATACCCCAACCCTCTGATGTAAACCCTTCATAATTGAAAGGCTCGTAAACTTGCATGCTTGTACTAGATGTAATAGATAATACGAGGCAAAACAGGTGGGAAATTTGTCGTCGCTGACCAAAAATTTGCGGGCAGAAACAAAGCTCATTGCATTTACATTCAAAACAAAGCAGAAAGTTAGCAAGAAGCTGTTTTAGCTGACGATTTTTGCTTTCCATTCAACGATTTACAAATTATTGGTTATTCTTTTAAAAGTCGATCATGAATTCTTTGTTTTGGGATGATTGTTTTGTAATCGAGTGATTGGAAGAAGTTAATATGGCGACGTGAACATGGGAGTAAATACCGTATACGTCGATCTATGGCTTGTTTAAAACCGTGATAAACGAAGAAAGACGTGATTTGAGAATGAAATGTAAGTTGAAATTAACTTTATATGCCTCAAATTTTCCATCCTATGTTTCATAATGTAACTTCAGCTGTCTAAGTTCAAAATACAAGCTCGCGAAATTTGACAAATTTTGAAAATATGTAAAAATAGCTTGACTTTGAACTGTATTTTCTCAAAAATACCCCGTGGCCTCAATTTCAAATATAGCTAAATGAAAAGAAAAAAGTTTTCGGCGTTTGTAGGTATCAAACATATCGTCAGGAAAATAGGGGCTCACAATGTTTTAGTTCAGTCTTTGAGACCCAGTTGCTTCGCACGTGTTGTGGTCAAATTTTTGCCAAGAATCAAAGGCCGAAATGTGAACTTCCTTCATGAAAACCGCTTCGAGAAGGGTCTAGTTTGAAAATTTAGCTATTAATTTCGACTTCATGAGCATATTTTGGTTATACGTTAAGTATTTTTGTGCTTGATGCGATTCAAAATTTGTTGTATATTCAAGCCCGGCTTTTGTGTAATTTTGGTGATGACCGGAACAGAAATAAAGATATTTTAAAAACTGGCCGTGGCCTCACGATAAAACTTTCTACAAATGTTCTCTGTTTCATGTACTTTTATTTGATATCTTGGGTATAAGCGTAAAAATAGGGGCTCATACAGTTTAAGAGGTTGTAAAATGCATGACTTGCCTCTATTTTCATGTAAACATTCGAAATTCTTCGACAGCAAAGTAGCAACTGTTTCAGATCGAATGCAGACGGACAGCCCACCAGAGACAATGGCAGGGTACTGAAATAGAACGTCATTAAAAAGTTCTGTATGATTAATTTAGAACATGTCCACTCTTTCAACATAAAACAGTCATTTATTTTGTACAAACATTTTGCAATATTTACACGATTGTGCTTTTTTGTAAACACGCGTTGCGTGTATTCCACACAATTGCGTGACTCATTTTACTCGCGCATGCTCAGACAAATTTCCCACCTGTTACGAGGCAATGCATAAAAAGACAACACTTTCTTGAAGCATTCGTCTCAGACCATCGTTCGGTCTTCAACAATGACTCTGCTGTGCCATATAATACAGTCAGAATATTTCCCTTCTTCCAATGCCTTCGCCTCTTTATCGCTCTCGATTCAACTTAATAATGACACAGCACTGACTCCTAGATCGTGTAGTTTTTTTACTTGATCTCGTATTGAATTTATCAATGGCAAAACCACGATTACTAACTGTTTACAATGTACGTTTACAATTTGTTTAAATATTTAAATCCGAATATTACATCGAATAGCTTCAGTAACGGCGTGATAAATAAGTGATTTCCTGCGTCAGTTGTGAGATTTACGAAAACATCCTTTTCGTTTATAATAGACTGAAAAGCCTTTTTCTGATGCGCAGTGTTAAAACTTTCAAATTTAAAAATACTACAGACTTGTTGATTTAATAGCCCATGCGTGTGAAGGTCATTGAAGGCCGATCTTCCAATTATCGTGTAGATGATTGTGATTGGTTAATTGCCGGGAAGTCAAACGTATAGCGAATGTGAGCAGACGTTAGGTGAGGCCTCGGCCACTAACAACGTCTGCGCAGGAGGCTATATAGTGCCCTGCATGGCAGTTTATGGCAATGTTTGGAGTGGTTGAAAATCAATGGCAATGGCAATATATCTCTATACCAGACGCTGCCAATCCTGCAATATACTTATCGTTATCTTATAGTTTGTGGGAATTGACAGTGTAGGTATCAGGTATGTAAGTAATGATCATGGGCGTACTGGAAGGAAAAAATTAGGGGGGCGGAAAGAAGTTTGCCCGACTTTTCCGGATTGTGCCCGACCAGTACGAAAAAATTTTTTCCGGAATTTATTTTGGCCGACTGTTGAGGGAATAAGACCTCGATATATTCTGTCGATCTGTATTAAATATGTATGACAGCTACACAACTCAGTAATTAAGCTGTACTATTTTTGTCCGACTTACATCACACATACTAAAATTTATTCCTCAACTTTGTTTATAAGGCTAGGTTTAAAATGCAATTTAATTTCTTTCACGTTTCTGTTTGTTTGAATTGGCAGTTTAAAATGGCACTAAAACCAAAATATAAAATACCTTAACTGTCTTTCAAGATTTTGTCGGGTGGTACATTTATATTGTATAACAAAATATAAATGTGGCCTATATATAATTTATGTGGCCTAAGGCACCTCTGATGCTTGACACTTACACATTTTAATTTTACAGAATATTTTCAGTTATTTGTCTTCTCAGTATTCATTCTCCAATGTCATAGTCATCTGGTATAAGTACTATATCACAATAGTGCCACCACAAGTTCACAACTTGTCAGCCTCAACTGCCTTATTCAACCTTGATTTATTTGTTTTACTCTTTTGGTGCAGTTAGCGACCATTGGCCAACTAAACCTTCCTCACCTATGGTAAACCTTCCTCGCGGGCAATGCCCGCGTGCCCGTAACCTGAGTATCAGGCTCTATTTTTCAAATAGAGCCTGATACAAACCTTAACCCGAACGCTTTCCACCCACAGCAAAGTTTATATTTAGTACCCAATCAAAATGTCGCAGGAGAAATTTAAATTTCACACAACGACAACAACAATCTAATTATAGCATAGGCAGCCTACTAAACGGCTGAATTTAAATTAAAACTGCAATGAACTTATAAAATTAACAAAAATAATCACAAATTAGCGAAATATATTGCAAATGTAGCTTATATTAAATCGCCACCCGATTGCACTATCAACAAACTGACGTATAATTATAAAGTATATATATATAAGTATACTTTAAAACTATACGGCAGTTAGTCGATAGTGCAATCGGATGGCGATTTAATATCAGCTACATTTGCAATATATTTCGCTAATCTGCGATTATTTTCTAATTTTACTGCAGTTTTAATTTAAATTCAGCTGTTTAGTGGGCTGGCTATGACTGTAGTTGTGATCATTATAAAATATATCAACAACAATAGTATAATCTAATTAGCACCAGCCAATCAAATGACAGATTTAAAAGATCGTTTGTCTAATCGGCCAATCAGACGAAAAAGCCAGAATCTGGCTTTTTACATGCGGCGCGGTAAAGAATTGTACCAGGCCCTCCTTCATTCGCCGCCGCCAATTAATCCTGGCGAATGAAAACATAAGGGCCTGATACTCAGGTTAGCGTGTCCGCAGCTTAATGATTAACTCTGATTAACAGCATTAGCTACTTCGCAAATTATGAAATTCATTGTTACTAATTTAAAAAATATCTGTCATAGGCTAATTTAGATTATTGTTTTTCACATTATACATGAACGTTGCCTTTTTGAATTTCATTCGTTCTGCCAGTGGCCGCCAACCAAGTTCTGATAAAATCACACACGATCTAATCTCATACGATTTACCTGAAATGACCCTTGCAGCCCTGTTCTGTAATTTTTGTAAATTTTCAATTAGATAATTACTGCATGTATCCAAGACAAGGATACAATACTCAAAATGAGGCAGAATTAGGGCATTGTAGACATGCATTAAAGTAAATTTTGGTACGTAAGGTTTCATTCGTTTCAACATATCGATTCCTTTTGAAGCCTTGGCAATTGTAGCGTCGACATGATTTTTCCAAAGAAGCTGGTCATCTACCACAACCCCCAAGGTTTTTATTTCACTTACTCTGTTAACTTCTGTATCGCCTAATCTAATTGTAGGAGCTTGGATATCATTTAAAAACGTTGTCTAGAGCCTATCAACATATATTCAGTTTTTTGTACTATTTAAAGAACGTGTAGGAGTGTTTTATCACATAATATAAAACATGACGCGTAGTGGAGTGTT